CCTCGAGGAACTAGGGTTACATACGTAACCTGAGACGTTATTCCTCATGCAAGGACGATATACTAAATACTTTGTTTTTTTTAATGCAGTGTTGTTTTAGTATCATTGAGATTATAGTGTTTATGAATATTAAGAATGTTCTTGTTTTTTTATGTTGTGTTTTCATTTTAATTTTAGTTTTTGTAATTTTGTTGATAATTTTTTTTTGTAGTTTTTTTTTATATATTTTGTGTATAGCTTTCATTGAAATTTTTTTTATTTGAGTGATTTTAGCACAAGTTAAACTAAATTAAATTAAGAAACTTTGATTTTGCAACTTGCGGAAATGCAGTTTTTAAAAATATTTTTTTTTCAATTTTAGTTACACACAAACATGTTTTTTTTAAATCAATTTTATTTTTATTCATAAATCATGATAATCTTATACTGTATTTTATCATTTAAAACCTCAACCTGTGCAAATGTGCTTGTGCTGTTTCTCTTTAAATGCCACTGTGTCTGATATTTTCTTAAATGCCATATGCCATTCATTCATTTTTAAGTGTGACTGAAACCTCCACATACTTTTCCACATACGCTGTATCCTGGTAGCCTGAAGGACTTTATATCTGCAAACTCAGCTGAAAAAAAAAACAAAAAAACCTGGAACACACACACATAGACAATTTTGCTAATGCCAGCCATCTTGATATTTAATGATTTGGTGGGTTTTTTCCATCCCCCTGAATTTGGAGGGTCAGGTCAGCTTGTTAATGAGCGTGGAAGGAAGGGGCCCACACAAATGCTTAATTTCTGTAGACCTGCGCTCTAAAGCAACCCAATTATTTCCCTTAGTGCATTGCTATATTTGTGCAACCCCAAAGTATTTTAAAATAATTCAAAAGATCCCATTAGTTCTCCAAGCTTCTCTTTTCACAAAATGGTGCAGATTTGTAATACCCGTCTTCACTGTCAGAAGAAAAGAAATGTTTTTGGCAGGCAGTACTGAATGTGGATCAAGGGTCAAACTAAGAAATATGAACACCTCTGATGTACATCTTGAATGCTGAACTTTTTGAGCAAAAGCCATCTTTCCTCAAAAGACAGAGAGCATATATTATCCAGCATACATGGTCTGCATCTAGAGAAACAGAATGACAATCCAAACAGCCCAAGATGCAGATCCAATATGACAGTATGAGCCTTCTCAGTGTCCATACATCACAAAAATCATGAAGATAAATGCTTTATTAGGTGCGCCTCACATCTGCAGTCATTTTAAAGGACGTCATAGCCACAGCAAGGTAAAGGAATGCAATAATGGTGAACAAAAAGACAGAAATTCGTCAGAGCACCAAGGCGGTGGTGACGGCTAAGAAGGTTCTTTGAAAAGCATGTTAATTACAAAATTCTTATGCAGCGTGTTCCTCTGAAACCTCTCCTTATACTGTCTGAATTTTCAAAGAGTAGCTGTCGAAATGTTCATGAATTCAGTTCTGACGTTTCATTAATGAATCATTATCTATTAATGCATAAATATTAACAGATCAAATGAATTAGTTAAATCATTGATGTGGATTGGAATCAGCTGGGAGGTTACATAATTATGAACAGCACGAGCTTTCAGGAGAAACTTGAGTTATTGACTCTTTATGTATGAATCTGTTTTGTGTAGTTTCAAGCTGAGGATTTTTTTTTATTTATTTATTTATTGCTTCTTCATGGCTCAGACTTGAAGTTCTCAGTTGGGTATCATTTAGGTGTTGCCAATGTTTCTGCTCTATAAAAATAGCCACAGATGAGACTGTTGTTAAGCACAGAGCTGTAAAGTTCATGCAACATAGTTAATATAATTTGTTTTTGGAATAATTGCATGAAAAACATTTGACTATGATTTTCGATTGCAGACTTTGGTATCTTGGCAAAATCTGAGCATGTTAGACATTGTTGACATCTCTTTTGAAAATCTAAAGGAGATATATGTCAGGTTACTGAGGTCTTTTTTTGTAGGAGAAAAATCTGAACGTACAGTAAGCTCCATTTAATCTCACTGTAGAAAGAATCAAGATATTAAAGAGACCTTAATTGTGATTCTTCTTTCATAAAAGAATCTACAAGGTAATCTATACATATTTATTCATTTTGTGAATTAGCTTTAATTAGTTTTTTAATTGTGCATTTTATTTATTTATATAAAAAAATCTATTTAGATTGCAATTATTTTTATTTCTTTGTAGTTTTAGTAACTTTAGTATTTGAACTTAAATGTATTTATTCCATTTTTTTTGGTAAAGGTTCCAAGTTAAAGGTTTCATCTAATTATTACATTTTGTTTCTGCTTTATTTCAATTAGCAAAATAAATAAATAAATACAAAAAAAAGCTTTTTAATAATTGTTTTAATAGTTGTAGTTAACAATAACAACTGAATCCTACCGTACTAGGTAAGACTTTTTCATTTTATGTATCTTTTTTTTTGCTGTCAATTTTCATAGAACCCTTATAAATAAGTAAACAAGCAAGATGTTTTTAGCACAGAAATCTTCTAATAAATACACAAAAACATTACAAAGCTGTTATCTTAAGTTCTCTACTATTAAAATCTTCAACTTATGACTTATTTCCAAGTTGAATAGTACTTCAGCTTATATAGAGCAGCTAGCGTAGCTTATCATTATGCTTGACATTGCCTGTCAGAGTCATACGTTATATTGTACATAACATAACCAGCATACCAAATGAGAAGCCTGCAAAAATAACACTAATAAGGAAATCATTAAATACTACTCCATTGACCTTTTAAAATGCTGGCTTCTCAACTTCT